AAACAGTCCTCCTGTCTTGTCTTCCCAAAGTGCTGGGATTGCAGGTGTGAGCCATTGTACCTGGTCATTTTTTGTTTTTTCCTCCAGTTTCTCAGGTTGTTAAAGTTAGGATGTTGATATGAGATTTTTTTCTCTTTTACTGTAAGAATTTATAGTTATAAATTTCCCCCCCCATTATACTGTGTTTACTGTGTTCCACAAATTTTGGCATGTTGTGTTTTGCTTTTATTCATCTTTAAGTATTTTCTCATTTATCTTGTGATTTTTCCTTTGGCCTATTGGTTGTTTGAGAGTGTGTTGTATAATTTTAACAAATTTGTGAAGTTTCCAGTTTTTCTTTTGTTATTTATTTCTAATTTCATTTTATCATGATTGGAGAAGATATTTTCCTTGATATCTTTTATTTAAAAATTGAAATTTAGCCGGGCTCGGTGGCTCAGCCTGTAATCCCGCGCCTTTGGGAGGCTGAAGTGAGTAGATTGCCTGAGCCCGCGGGTTCGAGACCCGCCTGGGCAGCGAGACCTCATCTCTACAATAAACCAAAAAATCAGCCAGGCATGGTAGTGCGCACCTGTAATTCCGGCTACTTGGAAGGCTGAGGCAGAAGGATCGCTGGAGCCCAGCAGGTCGAGGCTGCAGTGGCCGGGGGCGGCCACTGCACTCCAGGGCGACAGAGTGAGATTCCAACTCAACAACAACAATAACAAAAAATTGAAATTTAATTTGTGGCCAAACATATTGTTTATACTGAAGACTGTCCCATGTGTACTTGAGAGGAATATGTATTCTGTTGCTGGGCAAAGTGTTCTGTATTTGTCTGTTAGATCTAGTAGATTTATTATGTTGTTCAAGTTCTCTATTTCCTTATTTTTTGTTTCTTGTCATATTCTTTTTTTTTTTTTTTTTTTTGAGTTGGTGTCTCACTCTGTTGCCCAGGCTGGAGTGCAATGGCACAATCATGGTTCACTGCAGCTTCAACCTCTTGGGCTCAGGTGATCTCATCTCAGCCTCCTGTGTAGCTGGAACTACAGGCACATGCCACCATGTCTGGCTGATTTTTTTTTTTTGTAGAAATGAGGTCCTTCTATGTGGTCCAGGCTGGTCTTGGACTCCTGGGCTTAAGCAATCCTCCCACCTTGGTCTCCCAAAAGCCACTGCAATTGGCCTGTCCTATTCATTATTGAGTGAGGTATTGAACTCTCCAATTTTTATTGCAAAACTCTCCTCAGTTTTGTCAATTTTTGCTTCAGGTATTTTGATAGTCTGCTATTTAGTGCATAAATGTTTATAATTGTCATATCTTCTTGCCACGTTGAAATTTTTATTATGTAATGTCTTTCTTTGTCCCTTTTAAGTTTTTAAGGTCTATTTTGTCTGATATTAGTATAATCACTTCTGTTCTCTTCTGGTTATTATTTGCATAGAATATCTTTTTTCTATTATTTTCCTTTCAACTTATTTGTGTCTTTGTATCTAAAGTGAGACACATATAGTTTGATCATGCTTTTTTTTTTTTGAGTTGGCGTCTCACTCTGTTTCCCAGACTGGAGTGCAGTGGCCACTCCCGGTTACCGCAGCCTCGACCTGCTGGGCTCCGGCGATCCTTCCGCCTCAGCCTTCTAAGTAGCTGGAACTACAGTCGCGCGCTACCACACCCGGCTAATTTTTTGTAGAGATGAGGTCTCGCCAAGTTGCCCAGGTGGGTCTCGAACCCGCGGGCTCAGGCAATCCACTCACCTCAGCCTCCCAAGGCGTGGGATTACAGGCTGAGCCACCGAGCCCGACTCGATCATGCTTTTTAAAAAGATCCCTTCTGCCAATCTGTCTTGATTGAAGAGTCTGACCCATTTACATTTAGGAGAATTCCTGATAGGGAGAGATTTCCTTCTGCCATTTTGCTCTTTGTTTTCTATATGCCTTGTAGTTTTTCCTCCATCATTTTCTCCATTACTGACTTCTTTTGTGTTTAGCTGATTTTTAGTAGTGAAACTTTTCAATTCCCTTCTCATTTATTTTTGTATATTCTATAGCTAGTTTTCTTTATGGTTGCCACAAAGATTACATTAAACATATTGAAGTTATAACATTCTGATTTGAATGTATATCAACTTAGTGTCAATGATATGTAAAAGTTCTGATCCTATACAGCTCTATGCCACCCCATTTCAGTTATTTATGTCACAAAATTATATCTTTATTCACTGTGAATCCAAAAACAGACTCATCATAATAATGACAATTATGTTTTTGAGTTGGGGTCTCACTCTGTTGCCCAGGCTGGAGTGCAGTGGCATGATCACAGCTCACCAACAACCTTGAGCTCCTGGGCTCAGGTGACCCATCTGCCTCAGTTCAAGTAGCTGGGACTACTGGTGCCTGCTACCACTCCTGGTTAATTAATTAATTTATTTTTTTTGTAGAGATAATGTCACCCTATGTTGTCTAGGCTGGTCTTGAACTCCTGGGCTCAAGCGATCCTCCTGCCTTAGCCTTCCAAAGTGTTGGGATAAGAGGGTCATGTTTTTCTTTTTCTTTGTGTGTTTTGTAATTGTGGGGAGGTTGAAAATTGGACATTTGAGTCTTTTTTTTTTTTTTTTTAAGTTGGAGTCTCAATCTGTCACCCAGGCTGGAGTGCAGTGGCACGCTCATGGCCACTGCGGCCTCGACCTCCTGGGCTCAGGTGATCCTTCCAAGTAGCTGGAACTACAGGCACAAGCCACCATGCCTGGCTAATTTTTTATTTTATTTTATTTTATTATAGAGATGAGGTCTCACCACATTGCCCAGGCTGGTCTCAAACCCATGGGCTCAGGCAATCCTCTCACCTCAGGCTTCTGAAGTGCTGGGATTGTAGGCGTGAGCCACTGTACCCGGCCAACATTTGAGTCTTATGGTAACTCTGGAGATCAGATACTCTTCCCATGTTTTATTTGAATGTAATTTTGTTTATTGCTGTTGATATCTCTGTCCTGGAGATCAGCTTAAGGTGTAAAGTTCATATTTTCTTGGATACTTTCTGAACCTGTGTTTTTCTTTGGTCATTTAGATAGTGTGGTGACTGTCTAAGTTCTCCTGAGTTTGTGCTTTTGAATGTCCTGGTCCTTAAACATTCAGCTCCCAAAAGGAGAAAAATGGAAAAAATGAAGGGGGAAATTAAATGGGTACTTACCCTTTAAATCTCTTGGAAGTCACTTACAACAACGGTGGTAGGAGTTGCAACAATGGCTGCCTGCTTGTGTGTCTGTACCACCAAGATCAGAAGCAATGACCAGTGGTCAGAACTCAGATCCTTGACATTTGAAGGACAGTGTCCTTATTGCCTAGCCTGGCTCCTGCAAGCTGTGTGCAAGTTGCCCATGGAAAGCATGCATGGTTGTATGCCGTGAGGCTGAGGGTAGTCTTGGGTAGCTTAAACTGAGATTGACTGAAACTAGCTATACTTTATCATTCAAGCCTGGAAGCTTTCAGCCCTCAAGAGTCTCCAGGATTCCAAAATAGTTACATCAGACAAATTCTGCCAGTGCAGTTGTCGTCTGGGTGGTGAGACAGATTCCTGGCACTTCCTACTCTGCCATCTTCCCTGATGTTGCTCTGAGGTTTTATGTTATAGGAGGAGAGAGCAGACCATGAATATGCCCGGTGCATGGCCTTGAGGGTGTACACGCGGACATTTACATGTGTATGCAAACACAGGCCAGCTTGTTAGACTATGGCTGTACCATGCTGGGGTTGATAGGAAGGGGTAAATTTATATGTATATGCTTGTGTGTTAGCATGTGTTCATGTAGGTATGTGTTGCTCTGTGCTTTTAACTCCATGGGGCACTTCTCTATGTGTACCTGTGATTTTACCTATATTTGTGAGCCTGGGATTATGTACATCTGTGGGTACGCCTAAAGCCATGCTCCTTTCTTTTTTTTTTTCTTTCTCTTTTTGAGTTGGAGTCTCACTCCGTCACCCAGGCTGGAGTCCAGTGGCACACTCATGGCCACCCCAGCGTCGACCTCCTGGGCTCTGCCGATCCTTCTGCCTCAGCCTGCCAAGTAGATGGAACTACCGGCGCGTGTTACCATGGCCAGCTAATTTTTTTTTATTTATTGTAGAGATGAGGTCTCGCCAAGTTGCCCGGGCAGGTCTCAAACCCGTGGGCAATCCACTCACCTCGGCCTCCTAAAGTGCTGGAATGACGGGCTGAGTCACCGAGCCCGGCCCATGCTCCTTTCTAATTGTGCTGTGCATGTACATCTGTGAAGGCACACCTGAGTGTGTATGTCTGTGTATGTCCTTCATATGTACCTTGTATGTGACCTCTGGACATGAACCTCTTTGTGTATACTTTGTGTACTTCAGCACATGCACCTTTGTGTGGGTACTTTTAAGCATACACCTCTGAGCACATACCTTTATGTCTACCAGTGTGTGTACTTTTTTGGTTTTGTTTTTATAATTTTCTTTTGAGTCAGGGTCTTACTTTGTCACCCAGGCTAGAGTACAGTGACATGCTCACAGCCACCAGAGACTTCACCTGCTGGGCTCAGGCAATCCTCCTACCTCAGCCTTCCAAGAAGCTGGGACTACAGGTGTGCGCCAACACACCCAGCTAATTTTTTTGATTTATTGTAGAGATGAGGTCTTGCCAAGTTGCCCAGGCTGGTCTCAATCCTGTGGGCTTCAGGCAATCCTTTCACCTCGGCATCCCAAAGTGCTGGGATTGTAGGCATGAGCCACCATGCCTGGCCTATCAGTGTGTGTACTTTGAATGTGTAACTGTGTATGTATCTCTGAGTGTGTACTGCCATGTGTATCTGAGTGTATTCTTCTGTATGTGCCTCTGAGTGTGTACTATTGTGTGTCCTCTGAGTGTGTCCTCTGTGTATGGACCTCTAAACATGTGCCTTTTAGTATGTACCTCTGTGCATGCCTTTGAGAATGTGAGCTGGAGTGAGCCTTTCAGGGATGCCTATGATATCCTAAAGCTCACTGACTCTCCTCCCTCCCAGGACTCGTACCTGCTTGACTACTTCCTTTTTCTGAACCGCTACTTTGAGGTGGGGGCCCCGGTGTATTTTGTTACCACCTCGGGCTACAACTTCTCCAGTGAGGCCGGCATGAATGCCATCTGCTCCAGCGCAGGTTGTGACAACTTCTCCTTCACCCAGAAGATCCAGTATGCCACCGAGTTCCCTGAGCAGTGAGTGCCTGGCCCACCCCAGCCTCTGGCCTGCTTCCTGTCTGTGTCCTAATCCAAGGGTCTCCAACCCCTGGGCTGCAGACCAGTACAGGTCCGTGGACTGTTAGGAACCAGGCCGCATAGCAGGTGGTGAGTGGCGGGCAAGCAGAGCTCCACAATCTGTTAGATCAGCAGCAGCAATCGATTCTTTTTTTTTTTTTTTTT